AGGTATGCAAATTGCGTCACTTTCCCCCTGTAAGTAGGCAAAAAGCATGGCCTGACCCCTCCCTTTCAAAATTTCTGCGCACGCCACTGGCTCGCTTGCCGTCGCTTGCCGTCGTTTGCTGAGCCGATGAAGCTGGTTCGACTCCCGCCAACAGCAAAATTAGGGCGTAGCTGCGGGTCAGCCTGCTAAACACGTCAGTTCCCGTGTGAAAGGGCTAAATGCAGGGCCCTTCTTTCACTGTGCACTGTGCCAGCGCTGCCGTGCACCTATACGTAGAGGCGCTCCGGCCGACGGCGACTAGGCAGTGTGCAGCGCCGACTTTGCGAGAGTCCGCCGGGTCTGCCTCTCCTCCCCCAATTTGCTGCAGAGATGCTTTTGGCGCGCAAACGGACTCGGCTGTTTGTTGTGAGGCATGCCCGCCCGAGGCCATCCAAGGGCTTCGTGGTATTTAGTGAGGTGCGCGGGCCGTGGTGGGGGGAGGGGGCGGGCGCGGGATTGCTTTGAAGGAGGGTGCTTTTACCTGGACACTGCACTGTGCGCTGCGTCGCAGCGTCGCTGCACCGAGGCAAGGCAAGTGACACATTCCTCGTACTGCACCCCCTCCCTCCTCCTCCCCCTCGCCGCCCTCTCCAGCAGCTCTCCAGCTTCTCCAGCTCGTGCCGCGGGGGACGCTGTCTTTGTGCTTCGAAGATAGTTCGAGAGAGACAGCGGCCGACGGGAGGGAGAGGGACCGGGAGGGAGAGTGGCTTCCCGGGGTCCTCGTGGATTTCCCCAGCCTGGTCAGCGGCGTGCCGGTGGCTTGCCGGTGGCGTGCCATACCGTGCCGGAGCTGCAGTGCTGCAGTGCGGGGAGCGTCCCCAAAGCACGTCGCAGTCAAGTAGTGGCCCGTGCCGAGCCAAGCATCCGTACTCACACAAGAAAAAAAGAATTCGTGAATCCACTGTGTACCACACGGTAGAAACGGTTCCTGGTTTTCCCAGGAACTGCCTGGAAATCGCCTATGCCTTTACCATTGGCTTCCTGGGAAAACCAGGTTCCGTTTTTACCGTGCAAGACGTTGATTCCGCGATGAAGGGAAAGTAAACTTTTACGTAAAATTTTAAACGTCGATCGATTCCGCCAGCTGCTTATGGTCTAACCTATTTTTTGAGTATAAACAATTTCGCGTGTGGTGGCTGGAGGGGAGTTAGCTGCCCTGGGTTCGAATACCGACACCAGCGGGGCGCGTTTTCGCCACTTTTTGCTCACGCCGTTTTGTTTTGACGAGCGACCCACGCCGTGAGTCAGCAAGGATCGCCAGAGGATGGCCAGAGGATCGATCGGACGTTTCAGGTCCTTGTGGGCTCTCGCCATGGCTCTCTCGTTTCACTCCGTTTTTCCGCTTTGCTGGAAACTCGAGTTGGCCTCTCCACCTTTGTGTCCTGGTGGGGCTTGGTGGGGCCTGGTGGGGCCTGTTGTGGTGGTCACAGTGAGTCATCGGCCCCGGCTCCACGTGACCGATTTCAGAGGGAGAGGGGTGGGGCGTCTTATCCAGTTTTGATCCAGCATTCAAAGAGCTATCTGCTCCAGAGATAACCGTATCAGAACCGCGTTGCGTTCCCATGAAGTGTTCACTTCTTGAGAGGCGATCACTCATAACGGGGAAAACAAAATACTGTAACGGTTTGACCGTGTGGCGTGTGGACGGGCGTAGGGTCGCACCGCCGTATCAAGGGGTGAACGCGACACGCCAGTGATAAGGCAGGCCGAGTCGCTGGAGGGACGGGCGGGCCGTGGAGGTCCCTCCACCAAGCCTCCACCCCCCGTGCGACTGCGATCATCGAATGCGTGTTTGCGGTGAAAATGGAGCGCCTCCCCTTTATCGCAGCTCCGAATCAGTAAGGGCCGTCGTAGACTGATTCCGAGTGGGATGTCTATCTCTCTCGCACTCACAGGGCGCTCCGTACCGGAGCGAGAGGGACAGTCCGACCCGCGCTGTGCGGATGGCCGGGCTGGTCGGGGCGTGGCATGTCGTGGCACTGGCATGCAGGCCTGCAGACTGCTCTGTCTCTCTCACACCTATCCGGGGCGAGTGCGAGAGAGACAGAGCGACGAGCAGAGCTCAACATCAGCCTGCTGGCCAGGTTGGCAAGTGCAAAGAGCGCCGAAAGAGGCGCCTAGACCATCCTGAAGCTGAATCCCAGTGTCGTAGCCGGCCCCCCAAAGCAGAAGGTGGAGAGGAAGACCACGCGCAGCAGCGCTGGCGGTGGCGCTTCTCTTCTCTGTAGGGCCCTAGGCCTGCCTGGCCTGCCCAAGGAAAATGAGGATGAGGAACCAAAATAAAAGAAACGGCAACATCGCGGTGCTCGTCCTCCGCACTTCGCAAGGCCGAGGAGGCCGAGGAGGAGGCCGAGGACAGGGTGGGTCAGTGTTGCCAGCTTTAGGGAATCCTGCCTGTTTGTTTTTTGCGACGCAAAAAAAAGGGGCGAGGTGTTTCAACTGTGGCAAATTTGTTCTTGCTTTGTTTTTTTTATCGCACTACGCTTTTGTCGGTCGCCGCTGACGGGGCAGTGGCACTCTGTCCTTGTCTATCCGTGGCGGCAGTAGCGGGGCGGGCCAGGGCGGGACAGGGCGGGACAGTGGGGCCCGGTGTCATCGCTGCCATCACAATTTTTCAGTCAGTCGACTGATTCCGAGGGCCGCCTTCGTCGTTCTGTCTCTCTCGCACCTTTAGGGGACGCCGGCACGCCCCACGAGTGCGAGAGAGACAGAGCGACGAAGGCGGCACCGCTTCAATGCCACCCGACGGCCGCCCCGCAGGCCGGCAGGCCCGGGCCGTGGGCCGGTGGCGCAGGGCCGCCCCCGCCTTGGCCCCCGCCTTGGCCCCGCCTTGGCCCCCGCCTTGGCCCCCGCCTTGGCCCCCGCCTTGGCCCCCGCCTTGGCCCCCGCCTTGGCCCCCGCCTTGGCCCGCTGGCCCCGCCTTGGCCCCCGCCTTGGCCCCCGCCTTGGCCCCCGCCTTGGCCCCGCCTTGGCCCCCGCCTTGGCCCCCGCCTGGCCCCCGCCTTGGCCCCCGCCTTGGCCCCCGCCTTGGCCCCCGCCTTGGCCCCCGCCTTGGCCCCGCCTTGGCCCGCCTTGGCCCCCGCCTTGGCCCCCGCCTTGGCCCCGCGCCTTGGCCCCCGCCTTGGCCCCCGCCTTGCCCCCGCCTTGGCCCCGCCTTGGCCCCCGCCTTGGCCCCCGCCTTGCCCCGCCTGGCCCCGCCTTTGGGTCCCCCGCTTTGGCCCCAGCTTGGGCCCCCGCCTTGGCCCCCGCCTGGCCCCCGCTTGGCCCCCGCCTTGGCCCCCGCCTTGGCCCCCGCCTTGGCCCCCGCTTTGGCCCCCCCCTTTGGGCCCCCGCCTTGGCCCCGCCTGTCCCGCCTTGGGCCCCGCCTTGGCCCGCCTGCCCCCGCCTTGGCCCCCGCCTTGGCCCCCGCCTTGCCCCCGCCTTGGCCCCGCTTGGCCCCGCCTTGGCCCCCGCCGTGGCCCCCCCTTGGCCCCCCGCGCCGCCCCCCCTGGCCCGCCTTGGCCCCGCCTTGGCCCCGCCTTGGCCCCCGCCTGGCCCCCCCTTGGCCCCGCCTGGCCCGCCTTGGCCCCCGCCTTGGCCCCCGCCTTGGCCCCCGCCTTGGCCCCCGCCCCCGCGACACAGCGGACACAGCAGGCGGCGAGAACGCACCGCTTTCGGAGGCGGCCCGCCACCGGCACACTGCGAGTTTGGTCGCGCCTTCCGCCCCTCTGGCATGCGCCCCGCGCCGCCCCGCCACGCCACTGCGAGACGGACACAGGGTGCGTCATAACGCCTGCCGCCCGGTTTGTTTGGGTCTCCGCACTTCGGCCGTCGCGACTCTGTTGCAGTGTGCCCTGCCTGGCCCTGCCCCGCGCTGGCTGGCCTCGCCCGCCGCGCCCACCCTTCTCTCTTCTCTCTCATTCTCGGCGTTCCTCTCTCTCTCTCTCTCCCCCGCGCCCTTCGCCGCCGCCTCGTGACACGCCCGTTCATTCCAGCCCTTTAAAGGTCCGTCCACAATGGCGCGAATCGTAAGCTGGGCACGCCACCGTAACGTCGTAACGCGTCAACAGACCGGCGGCGTCACGATGGAGCGGCTGGCGCTGCAAAAAGACGAAAGAACGCTCGTAACTTTACAGTGCACCTCGCCCCGTGCTCGGCATGCTTGCTCAGTGGACGAGCAGCCTCCGAAAAAGGGTGTAGTAATACGCGGAAATTGTCGGTGAAATAACTTCAAATCGCGCACAGCCTGGACGCGCTGTCGGAGTGGAAGTGTGTGGGTGGAGTGTAGGAGTGCAAACATTGCCGCGAGTCTCTGTGAGCCTGAGGCCCCACCCTCTGGCCTGGTCTCTCGCCTCTTCCGCACGAGTGAGCGGGAAGCATTCCCTCCTCGACGATCTTTATTTTGAATGGCGCCGCGGTGCGCGCGGGCTTTGGTCTGGTTTCGCCGGCAGTGCCGGGGCCACTGGCTGGCTGGCTGCTGGCTGGCTGCAGGCTGCGTACGCGCTGCCGACGCTACGCTATAATACGAAACGCTACGGGCGTCGCCAGCGTCATTCCCCCACCCCGGCCCCACGGCCCCTTGGCCCCAACCGCGCGCAGGTCCTCCGCGACGGAAAGTAGAGCCGCGCCGAGAAGCCGGCTTGCCTTCCTTTCGACAGTACGGCTTGCCGAAGCGCTCCAAGTCTGTGAGACGCTGCTATTGTTGAAGGGACGTCGTTCCGACCCCAATTTCCACCGGCCTGACGCGAATGTACAGAATTTGATCAATTTGCCGGAAACGTTGACCTACATCACTTGGATTGGCGCCCGATTCAAGGCTCGGCGCGCGCGTGGAGTTGCGCGAGGCAGTGGCGCGCCTGGCGGCAGGACTCGGAACCAAGCGCGCGTCCCCACCACTCCCCGCCTCCCCCCTCGCCCCGACTAGACTGTACCTGCCCCGCCCGGCCCCGGCTAGTCCGGCTGTCCTGCACCGCCGCCGCCGCGCCGCGCCGCCACCCGGTTCACAGCGCTACTGGCGGCCCACGTTGTCGGTCGTGTCGTCCGCCGCGCTCGCCGCACGCATCGCAGAGTCTCTCGTTGGCTTGCGGTGGATCTCGCGGCGACCCGGTCGATGGTCATCAGTGCCGTGCCGACGTGCCAGTGGTGCTCCAAGTGAAATGCCTGTGAAGCTTGTGACAGTCCCTGGTGTTGTGTTTCTTACGCCTGTGTGCTCCTTCGGGAGTTGTTGTGCCGCTAGAGACTCTGTTTCGCGCGCACCGGCCTTCGCCGCCGTCTGTGAGATACCAGCGAGTACCTTGGTGACTCGCTCCGTCATTGGATTTTCTAACGCATCGAGTGTTGTGTCAAAGTGTCTTGGTGCTCTTTTGGACTCTAATATTCCGGGGAGTGAAACTCCAAGAGACATTCTCTTGGAATAACCTACCTGGATTATCACCATTTTCAACCTGCACCCTTGGATTACTATTTCACCAATGAGTATCGGTAAGTTCAACTACGAAGGTTTTTGAACTTCAGCTGGCAGTTTGCCCTCGGTTGCACGAACAGTCAACAAGAGACGTTTCTCATGCCGGCCGGCGTTCCTGGAATTCAGCGCGACTTCCCCCGGCGTCGATACTCCGTGTCTAAACTTACCCGTCAAGTCATGAGTTCGGAAGTAGAAGGCAGCCGGCGCTTCATTTCGCCTTTTCGTAAACAAGCCTTGTGTCGACGTCGGCGACGGCCAAGCGGCGGCTGGTGTTTTCGCGGGTTCCTGCTAGACACCCGACGCGCCGGTTTCTCGGAAGTGAGCTGCCAGCGTTTGACTGTTGTGGCGTCGGGCCGGCCCGGCCGCCGGCCGCCTCGGCACACTCGGCGACGTCCGCGCCGGCCGGCGTCAAGATGTGCGCCTGGTCGCTGCTTGTCTCGCGGCTCTGGGTGTTTGCTCGGCTCGTCCTGGCTCTCCGGCCGGCGCGGATATTCGGCTGGCAGCCTTCGATTGTTGAGCTACGCTCGAGCTGTCAAACTGCCGACGGCGCGGGCCCGTTACGCCCTTCGAGTTTTTGTTTATGCCCCTTTCGTGCACTTCTTATTGGCCCGCACACAGGGCGCGGGCGCGCTCATCGCGAGCGGAAATTGCTGTAGCTCCTTTTTTTTGCCGTTCCCGTCTTGAGCTTTGAATGTACATGGCTGTCATTGGCACAGTACGTCCAATACTGTACCCTCACTCGCGTCGTCTGTTACTTCAATTCTTCTTCGCGTTATTGTGCCGTTCGGTACACTCTTCTCTCCCTTCCCTATGATTTCAGTTTTTAATCTGTCCCAGAAGTTTTCTTTCTTGGTTCAGTTGTGATTCATTGTAATGTATCGCAGAGTAATGCAGGCACATCATAAGCATTTGTTATGACGCTCCATTCTAATAAATTAATTTCAAGTTTTTGTTCGCAAAATTAATTCATAGTTCGATTAAGGTTTTGTGTCCCTGGTCCCTTGACGTTAGTGTCCCATTTCACTTATCGTTACATTGAAGTCAAGAAATGTTATTACTATTGCTTTAAATTTTATTAAACGTAATTTTAATTATATTGATTGTAGAAAGTAAGACATCTATTCCATTTTAAGTGCCACAAATTTTTTGGACTGCCGTTGTGATAAATTGATCCTTGCTGACATAAACTGTGAATGCGTATGCTGAGTTTAGTGGCTGATGTATTGCTTGCCTGCCAGTGAGCAGTGTTATACAGAGCTGTGCGCTATGTGTTCCAGACACGACCATCATGCCGCCCCAGTTCGACCAACCCTGGTGCTCACCCAGCCCGCTGGGCCTGCCCTTGCCTGGCGCCGACGACGAGAGCTTGGACTTGAACATCTTCGACGACCTATCGTTCCTGGACGACTCCCCCTTGTTCCCCGATGCCCTCCTCGATGTCTGCCCCTCCGACATGATGGAGGACTTCCTGGGCTCCTCCCAGGTCCGGCACGACTGCATGTGGGCAGGGACGTGCGTGGACGACAACAAGGACCGGCCGAACCCCTTGCCGCGGCTGCAGCACGAGAGCCCCGTCAAGTGTGGCTCCATGCCCGTCCTCACCCCCTGCCACGACACCCCCACCAAGGACACTGACTCAGTGCCGGCCCCCAGTGTTACCCCCAGTAGAGCAAAGTGCAACCAGCGCAGCATTCTAAGAACTAACCTCAACCTCGCGAGTGCCGCCCATGTAGTGACCAGTGACCCCCTCAGGACAGCTTCTCAGGAGGAGAGCGATGACTCTGGCCGGCCAGACACGCCCCTGAGCATGGAGGGAAGTGTGCCCGACCCCGCCGAGTTCAAGCACGACTACGAGCTGGCGTCGTCCTGCATCGGGGGTGACGACGAGGAGGAAGCGGAGGAGGACGAGGAAGAGGACGACGACGAGGAGGAGGAGGAAGATGACGATGAGGACGAGGAGAGCGAGGACGAGGACGAGGAGGTGGCGCCGATGGTGAACGCGGCGGAGGCGACGGGCCAGACCGTGAGGGCGGCGTCGCAGCACACGTCCCGGTTCGACTCCCGGCCGCAGCAGATGGCCGTTTCCAACCACTTCTTCAACGACCACAGCTACCACCTCAGCAAGGACGTCAGCTCGTCCATCCCCGGCAACCTGACACCCTCAGATTCTGGTGAGCACCTTCCTTCGTTGTTTCGAAGCGTACATTTCCCTCTGTGTGTATGTGTGCGTGTGTGTTGAATCGCGGCGGCGAATCTGGACATATCCCTCGCGTTCGCGTGCCGGTCTGCCGGCGCGCGGGGTATGTCCCGCGGCCCGGCGTTTGGCGCGCCTCGCTCACGTGACACGCGAGAGCCGCTGTCGGCTGCCGCCTCAAACTTGTGCAAGCCAAGTGCATAACGTTGTGCAACGGCGGGCTACTGTACTGGTCTCCATGGTGCAACCGCATTTGCCAGACTTATCGCGCAGGAGGGTGGTTTTTCGCCGACTAAGAGCGTTGTATTTTTAACTGTGTCCGTGTTTTGTTTTTCCTGCCGGCGTCTTTTCCTGCCGACGATGGCCGATGGCCTCCTATTTGTATCGGTTGCTTTTAAATGGTCGGAAGGGGTTGCCCGCTGCGAAGCCCGGGCCCGAGTGTCATGTTATGTAATGCCTGGCGGCGTGGCGTGGCGTGGCGTGGCGTGGCGGGGCGTGGCGGGTGTGAGGCGCGGAGGCCGGCGCTGCGCCCTGCGCGTCGTGCAGCCCTGCGCGTCTACCTGCGTGCCGGGCCGGGCCGGGCCGTGCCGGTGTCGCCGTGGCGCCCTGGGAATTATGGTGGAATCTCCGCAGGCTTCGGGATGCCCGTGGTGAAAAGAAGGCGGGGGTGAAGGACCAGGAGGACGAGGACGTTGTGGCTCAGTTCCCGGAATGGATTGGGCTAGGAGGCTGCCGGCTGGACGCGGACGCGACGCGTCTGGACCGAAGACGGGACGGGGCCGGGCGGCGCGGGGCCCGTCCCGCAGCGCGCAGCACGCAGCCACGTCCCTGGAGGCCGGGGACTTGCTGCTGGCGCGCGGTGTGGTGGCGGTGCAGGGAACCGACTTGGAAAAGTGATAATGAGCAACACGTCGAGGGACATGGGCTTGGCGGCGGCCCTCGCGGCGGAAAGGAAGGGGGGGGGGAGGAAGGGGGGCATCCTCGCGCTTCCTCTCAAGGTCATTATCTTTTGTCGCTCGTTCAGGAGCAAGGCACCAGCAAGGACGCGCGCTGCGTCAGCGCGGCCCGCCGGCCCGCCGCGTCCAGCCGTCCAGCACACTGCCCTGCTCCTGCCGACGAGTCCGGCACACTGCCACGGCGCCTAATTGTTTTCCGACACTCCGCGGGGGTTAAATGTTTTAACGGCGGTGATGGCTCCGCAATCGGATGGGCGGCAATGATGCGGGGCAGATGGTCAGAGTAAAAACAGAGAGAGAAAAGGGGGGGGGGTGCAAGTTGCGAGTGATACACTTGAGCGAGGCGGCCCCACGCTCCCTCCCCGCGGGGCCCCGCCTCGCCTCGCCGCGGCTGTTAGAGCAGTGACTTGTGGATGACGATTGTGTGGGCTCTGGGCTGGGCTCGGTTTGGGTTCCGCCGCCGCGCGTCCGCCGCGCGGACTTGACTCACCGCGTTGGCGGGTGGAGGGGGAAGGGAGTCAGTCAGTCGCTTTTCGGGCGGCCAGGCCTGGCCCTGGCCTGGCCCAGCCCGGGCGTGTCTGGGAGTCTGTCCGGGCCTTTCGGGGCCTTTGGTTTGCCTTCGCGGCGCGCGCTCTGAGTCATTATTGGCTTAGAAGGGCTGGATGACGGCGCGACGGCGCGCTGGCCGGCCGGTCACGCGGGTCACGCGGTCGTGCCGGCCACTTATGTCACATGCTGCGAATTCCTGGCCGTCGTCTGCCGGCCGGCCTGTTCCACTGTCTCTGTCGCACTCACGGGGCGGCCCGCTGAGGTGCGAGAGAGACGCGCGGAATCCGGCCGGCCGTGGTCGCCGGTCCGCGCGCGGGTTTTGCGTCGGGCGGACGTGTCGGGTCCGCCCCTCTCGCCGCGGCCCGTCGACGCGCCCCGCCAGGGCTTTCCCGCCGGCGGGCCGTCGGCGTGCTTCCGCGGACCTTGGCCGCCGCACCAGCTGGCCACGCTGGCGATAGGCGGGGCGGGGCGCGCGGAGAGTTAAAGGGCCGCGGCTTTTAAAGTGGCGGGGGGCAAAGGCGGGCCGCCGGTGTGGCGCGGTGTGCATGCAGGCCCACCAGGCCCTGCGCGGGGCCCTGCGCGGGCCGGGCCCTCTGGAATGCGACTTGACGCTATGCCCTTCCCTCCGCTTGCCTCAGGTGGGTCCGTCTGCGCCAGCGCGCCAGCCGGGCTGCCAGGCCCGGCCTGCGGTCGTTGGCCGTTGCGAGCGAAGCGGCGAAGCTCTGCGGGGCTTCGTGCGGCACTGCGAAAGCAAAACGGGCGCGGGGAGGAGAGGGAAAGGGGGGGGGGGGCACTAAGGAGTTGCTGCCGCTCTTTGGACATTTAAAAAGCAGCACTGTTCCTTGGCCGGGGTCCCGGCTGTCTTCCTCTTCATTTTCTTTATTTCTCCCGTCCGCCTCTTTTCCGACCACCTGTTCCTGTTCTCCCGGCGAGTTTTCGGCGCGTCTGTCCGCCCCGGCCGGAGTGGTGGGCCGGCGGGCCGGCGGGCTGGGAGTGAGATGTGTCGATTACGTCGGGATGCGTCTTGCGATCCGTCGCTCCCTGCCTCTGCCGGGCCGTCCGCCCGCCCGTCCGGCCCTGCACCACGATTTCGGGAGGGGAGGAGGGGGGAATGGGTTATGTGAATGGAGTGTACCTGGCAAGTCGCTACCCGTCCAGGAGGCCCGCCTGCCGGGCTGGCGGGCTGGTGGCGGCATTTTCCTTTTTGTTGCATTTTTATGGATTGGCGTGCACGGCGTGCCCCCGGACGGCCCGGGCCTGATTGCTATTCACACCGGGCCGCGCGGAGCCGCGCGCTGCGCGCCGCGCGTGCGTGTCTGGAGGGGCGTGCTCCTGCAGGCCTCGCCTCCTCGCTTTGCGCTCCAAGTATGAGAAATTGCTGATGCAGAATTGGCGCGATTTTTCATAGTGTCGGTGGGTGCGTGCTCGTCGCCTCGCGTCGCCGGCGTGATGGGGATTGACCTGTCAGCATGATGTTCCGCGGCTGCGTGCCGCGTGCGCGGGGTGCCGTCGCTGGGTGCGCGGCGCGGCGTTCAGAGGCCTTCCGATGCGTTGCATGCGTTGCATGCGTTGCGGCGTTGCCAGCCGTTTGTTTACGCTTCTCATTAGAAGGGCTGTCTGCCCTTCCACCCCGTCCCTTCCCGTCCCGGCGTCCCGGCCGGGGGGCGGAAATCGGGCGTGCGTGTGAGGAAGCTTCTGCTCCCGTTTTTTTCCGTTTCGGTTTGTGTTTGTGTGTGTGTGTGTTCCGGAAGCGATTAAGTCAATATTGGATTTGTTTGTACCGTCGATTCGATTCGTTACCTAGCGCGGCCCCGCCCCGCCCCGCCCCGCGCCGCTCCCCCAGATGGCTGCAGTCTGTCACAGCCGCAGCGCCACAGCCCCGCCGCCGCCGCGCCGGCTCGGCTGACGTGCGCCGGGCCGCCGGGCCGGGGACGCCGTCTTGGGCGCGCGGAATCTGGCCGTGCAGGTTTCTGCGGTGGTGGTGCACTGCAGTACTGCAGTGCACTGCGGGACGGCAGAGTGGTTCCGAGCTTGGCCGCTCCGTCTCTCTCGCGCCCCTGGGGCCCTAGGGGACGCCCCTCGAGTGCGAGCTAGACAGTGACGGAAGCCCCGTCCGGAATGAGCCCGGGGCTGTGGTCAGTGCTGCTGGCCACGCTGGCCGCACCCCTGCAGACCCTGCAGCAGTTCCAGTGGCTGGGCAGTGCTTTTGCCGTTACAGTGCACGTGCGTGGGGATAAGCCACGCCAGGCAGGCCGACAGGCAGGCCGACGTTCGGGGCTCGAGGGAGGCTGGGCTGCCGTTGGCGGCCGGAGCCCCCGTGGCAGCGCAGGGATCCCTTGGCGCAGCAGTGTTGCCAGACTGACTGGGCGGCTGCCGGGGGCCATCGCTATTATTTCAATTCATTTACCAAAAAAGAAGTTACATTTTTTGGGGAATTTTGGGTGATTTTTTCTTTTTTGAGGCTTGGCAGCGCTAGTGTTATTGGCATCGTGTTTGACGGGCAGGTGCTCCCCTCCCTCCCCTCCTCGCGCGCGCGTTCGCGGCGGCCTCGTAAATGGAGGAATGTGGAATGAGGTTACTACTGCCCTCTAAGGGGATGCCTGGCGGGCTGGCGGGCCATTGGCGAGCCGCGGGCCGGCCGCCGCGCCGCTGCAGTCCCCGAGGGCTTCCAGTGCAGCGGGCTGCGGGCTGCGGCCGTGGCTGCGGCTTGAGCCGGTGAGCCGAGCCCGGTGCAGGGGCTGCGGCTGGAGGCTGGTTGCGGCGCCGAGGGAGGCTCGCTGGAATTTAGGGCGCGCTACTGTACTCTCCAGGGGCTGCTTCGCTTGCTATACCCCGCCCGTAGGCACACCGTAGGCCGTAGGGGTGCAGTTCATGCGCGCTGGCGGCGTCGCTCCAGCCCCGTTCATCTCTCCTGCAGACATGGCTGAAAAAGCGCGCAAGTTTGTTAATGTGGCGTGAAGGGCGAGGTTGGCTTCCAGGGCCCCGCGCCCTCGGCGGCCCTGGACGGCCCTGGGCCCGCGCCGTGCCTGTCGGTGGGCCCCTTCGCCCCCAGTGCGCGCCCCTGGGGCCCTGGGCTGGGGCCCTGGCTGGGGGGCTCGGCGTCCCTTCCCCTCGGCCCATGTTCATGTTCCCTCCCAAGACTGGTGGCCCTCGCCCTCAGCACATGCCAAGTGCACGGCGCGGCGGTGCGGCACCGCGTCCCGCCTCTAGCCTGGGGTCGTCGCCGCCGTCTTGGGTCATGTCATCGATTTTTTGGCGGGAGCCGGCGCGATCATGAATGCAGTGCGGAGGGCGGCGGGGCGGGGCGAGGCTGGGCGCGGGTGCGGCGGCAGTGGCGTCCCTCCGACTCCAATTAGCCTACGTTCGGACGACGGCGAGGGTGGCGTGGGGGACCGCCGGCCGGGGAGAGACCGCTGGGGGGGCCGCCCGGCCGGGGGGCCCCGGTGGGGGCGTCGGCGGCCAAGTCATCGCCCCCGCGTCCGTCTGGTCTGTCTGGCGCGGCGGCGCGGCCGTCGTACAGTAGCGCGCTCTCGTTAGCCTGCTGGAGCGTGGCGCGGTGCGCGCGGTGCGGCCTCGGCCCGGCGGCACGCGCCCGCGGCCTCGGCCTCGGTCGCGGAGCCCAGAGTGCCAGAGCCAGGGCTGCCAGGGCCCCGTGTAGTACGGGTAGTGCGCCGCCTGGATTCTTAGAAGACTGCGGAATTTTCCAATTAGAAGGCGAGGAATTTGCGCGCGGCGCCTTGTGGTCTGGTGGGCAGGCCGCCACGCTACGGCCCTCGCCGCCCTCGGCTCGGACTTCCCTCCGCGGGACTCGGAGCCGCCGCGCTAGAGTGGCGTCGGGCGTGGCCGCGTCGCGGTGCGGCGGCGCGGCGGCGTCGGCGCCGCTACGCAGCCTCTGGGGGAAGTGACGTTGGAGGGTGGTGGTGGGAGGGGCGTCGGTTTTCGGCAGGGCCAGGCTGGGGCGCAAGTCTGAAGGTCGCGGGTCCGGCGGGGAGACAGCGTCGGCCTCCGGCACGGTGCGTCGGTGCGTGGCGCGGCGTGGCACGGCGTGGGAACCCCACCCCACCCCACCCCAACCCCACCACTGGAAGGGCCGCGCCCAAATATCGACCCGTCGCAACCGTGGGCCGAGGGCCGGGCCGAGGGCCCAGTCATGGCCAAGCCAAGGTCGGTGCTCTCAGCCTCAACGCGTCAAGGTCGCTGATCTCGCACCCTCACCCTCGCCCTCACCCTTCGCGATGCGGCGGCGCGGCGCTCGGGGCCCGCATGCCGGCGGCGCGGCTGGGCGCGTCATGCCCAGCCAACCCGCTCGCTGTCGAGCTTATTTATTAGCCCTCATGATGAGTCGATAGCGGCGCGGTGTCGCGCGGTGTCGCGCCGAGCGTCCCGGCGGGATTTGCTGGGGCGTCGCGGCGTGCTGCCGGTGCGGCGCGGCCCCCGCCCCGCCAATGTTGATGCAGTGTTCCGTCCCCCGCGACGATGCTGGCGGTTTTGAACTGGTTGTAACGGTGTTTGTCTTTGTGTTTGCAGAGGACGAGATCGACGTGGTGTCGGTGTGCGGCGAGAAGTCGTCGTCGCGGTCCTCGTCGCAGAGCGCCCTGCCCTCCAACCCCTCGGCGCGCGACCGGCACGCGCTGCAGCAGACGATGGCCTCGGCCATGAAGCGGTCGTCGTACAACGCGGCGCCCTCCACCTACCCGTCGTACCTGTCCGGCCGGCAGCCCAGCGGCAAGCTGGCCAGGATGCAGGCCGAGAGGCAGCGGCAGCGCGAGCGCAAGCGGCGCGCCCAGGAGCGCGACGACTCGTCCGAGGAGGACGTGGTGCGGCCCACCAAGAAGCGCGCCAAGCACCACCACGCCTACAAGCCCGTGCGCCGCGGCGGCGCCGGCCACTTCAGCAAGGCGTCGTCCTCCGACTCCGAGCCCGACTCGTGCGAGAAGCGCTCGCTGCACAACAACATGGAGCGGCAGCGGCGGGTGGACCTGCGCAACGCGTTCGAGGACCTCCGCGTGGTGGTGCCCGAGCTGAGCAACAACGCCCGCGCCGCCAAGGTGGTGATCCTCAAGGAAGCCTCCCACTACTGCCGCCAGCTGACGTACGACTCCAAGTCCCTGAGCCAAGAGTCCGTCGCCCTGGAGCGCGAGCGTGACCGGCTCCTGGCGAGAGTGTCCTTCCTGAGGAAACAGGTGGCCTGCATGAGGATGGGCCGGGAAGCGTAGGCAAGGTGTGTGCCAGTGTGCCAGACGCGGTGAGGACCTTAGCGCAAGTGTCAGAGAGGCTGTGCACGCGTGCCGACTGCCGCCTGCTCTCGACCCGAGACCACCTTCAGAACCGTATCCAGGACTCTAGCTTCGTGCCTGTGTGGGAACTTTGACTCGCCCCGTCGAGTAGAGTGGAGTGGAGAGTGTACAGTGTACAGCTTGGTTGTAATCAATCCACTTGCTCGACTTGCGAGTTACGTAGACTTAGATGCGTTGAAATCAATTAGTGACCAATGCGTAGTGCTCTCCATGTGGAGTAGTAGTTCCACGGGCTGCCTGCCATTTTGCATTTGTCACAAGACTTTGGATTATGTTAGGTTTTATCATCTTTAATTTTTTCTTTTCTCTTTGATTCTGTCCGGGCTCCGAATGAGAGCATAACGGAGAGATCATGTATGGAAGTAGATAGTTCCGTTGGGTATATCTGGCAGCTAGTGTCGCTTTCTATCATCGTCCAACTTGTCGGACTTATAAAGTTATGTACAATTGGTTTTAGAATGCATTGTAAGTGATAAGCTGCCGTAATTGGTCCTAGTTTATGCAGGTTTAATATTGGCTTTAGCTGACTTAGGCTAATGATATCTCTGTAAGCCTATTTGTAGGGCGTTTTTAATCAGCCCAAGCCCTCTTTTGATCTTGCGCATAAGATTAATTTGTGATAATTTGTACATATGTTATTTTTCTAACAATCAAGTTTAAACCAAAGTAATAGTCATAATTAAAAATTATTAGATCTCAGAATCATTACCTTAAAATATTTATGTTATATAAGTCTATATTTTTTCATTAATATAAATACATGTTACCATTACTTTGGTTTAAATTAAGGTAGTTTTAAATTTTTTTTTACAGTTAAAATGTAAATAAAATATCATCATATAAACTAAACTCTTGTGTGCTCCTCTTTCTGACATCATTTTACCCACCAAAATCAACACAAATTCATCATAAGCCATCTAGCGTTACACATAACATACTTAATCTTGCAAATTCAATGGCGCTTAGTTGAAGTAAATGTTGTTGGTGGACAAACCAGACGTCTCTTTCAAAGGTTTTGAAATGGCATTCATATCCAACAAATCAGATTGTCTCTATCGTATCTAAACTGAAGGCACACAGTTTGATAAGCAATGGGTTGATAACACGATTTGAAGTGGGAGATGCGCCATAAATGAGGAAGTCATGAATGCCATCACGACTGATAAGAACTTCTGTCCTACACACCACACAAATTAATCAACTGTAAGTGTCGCGTCTTTCTTGGCACCAGCTGAGAAAAGAAGCCGTATTTTTCCGTCCCTCCCAACGACAGAAATGAACAGGAGGGAGGGAGGCGCGTTGTTTCAAGGAAGGCCCGGCCTGGCCCCGGCCCCGTATCAGCAGGCGGGCCGCGTCGCCGCTTCGCCTTCGCCTCCCGCTGGCCTTGGCAGCTACTCAAGGACGCAAGGCGCCGCGAAAAAATTTCACCGCTGCCAGCCGGTTTCGAACCCGATTCCTCCGGCTCCTGGGAGGGAGTGCGACGCGCCAGGAGCCCGGCGTGCCAGTGTGCCAGTGCCACGCCCCACGCCGCGTTCCTGTCGCGTCGCGAGTTCGCGGATCGGCAGTGGCGTTGCCGCGATGACGTGCATCCCTCTCCTCCCCTCCCCTTTCTTGACTTCTCTTCCGGTTTCGGATTTCGCATGGTAATGCAGGCAGCAGCGTCGCTCGCACGCCGATGGCTCGCGGTGCCAATGCCCACGCACTGTCTCTCTCTCTCTCTCTCTCTCTCTCTCTCTCTCTCTGGCTCGGCCGGTGCGTGCACGACACATTCCCGCCCCCGGGCCTGCCCTGCCTGCCCAGGCCCCAGTAGGCCCCGCCGCAACCCGCCGAGCTCAGCAACTGGACTGTGGGAAAGAAAGGGACGATTCCGACCCGGCCACTCGGCCAGCCCCCGCCCCGCCCCCGCCCCGCCGTCCCCGTGGTGCGGGAGGGGCGGCCGATGGCCGATGCGGGCGGTGGCACCACGGCTCCACCGGCTCCACCACACTGGCACCGCGGGGACACTAGAAACCGGTCCCAGTGTAGGCAACCTGCCGGGCCTCGTAGGCCAAATCTCGCACCCCCTCACTGCGCTAGCAGCGCTCGAGCGTGCGTTGGGTAACAGACGTAACCGACCACCACTTCGACGGCGGCTTCCCGGCTTCACCCCGGCGGGGCCGAGCCCTGGGCCGAGGATGGGGCTCCCAGACGAAAGAGCATTTCATTATCAGGAGAGGTTTATTTTCATTTGCTTTTTTTGAGGCTCGTTTTGGGGACTGATCGATGATGGGCTTGAGTCGCCTCGCCTATGTTGACTCTGTGACAAAGGGTGGGCGTGCTTTGGTCTCTCTCTCCCGCTCTCAGTGCGCCACGAGTGGCGACACTGCCGTTCGGAATCAGCCCTCATCGGCCGACCCTCTTGACGTGGAGGTGGGGGCTGCCTGCGGGGCTGCCGCCCAGTTAGTGGACCGGGCATGACAATCTGGAGTTTTGGTAATTTCTCTTTTCTTCTATTTCTTTTTGTCAGCATCGTTCCGAAGCATCCTCATTATTTCCTAAAACAACGGGGGCATGGAAATAGTCCGCGCACTTCTGCGCACATGTAAAAGTGCGGAAAGAGGAGGGGGCTTTTTTTTGGCGGGCCGAATCATGCCTCACAGGTCCCGCGGGCCACGAAATAAGTCCCGATGGCGACAGGCCGGCAAAGCCGAGGGGCCGAGGGCAAAGCGATTCCGAAGAGCGCTCTCGTCGCGCAGCCTCCGTCTCCGTCGCACTCATGGGGCCTTCCGTACGTAGGGGCCAGAGAGGCCCAGCGACGAAACGCTGTTTCGGAATCAGACTGTTGGCGGAACATGTGGCCCCGGGGCGGCCCAGAGGCTCACGGTCTGTAGGCGGAGGAAAGAAAAGGGGGAGGGGGTGAAGTAGGCAGAAAGGGGTGGAAACTCTAGACGCGGGCCTGCGGGGCGCTGCGAACCGCGCGGAGAGTTGTTGCAAAGAAAGCAGTACGAAAAGAAAACACTGTCCGTATCGCATCGCTCAGCGGGCACAGCCAGTTTGTTCCACGTCCCTCCCTTCGGCGGCGGCGGCAGGCTGCGGCAGGCGGCACGGACTTGGCGACGGCCGTGAGAACGCGCTGAACGCGCCGCTGCCGGAGTGTCACGCGAGTGTCACGCGCGAGACGTGACGTGTCTGAACGGCGCAGTGGCGCGGCGAGGAAATCCACGGCCGTGTCGTGTATACATGCTCCCGTGCACCGTGCAGTTCGCAGCGCCGCGCCGCACCGCGGCACACCTCCCTGATAGACAGCCCCGTGTGCCCCGTGCCTTTCGTGGCCTGGGCCTTTCGTGGCCTGGGCCTGGGCTGGCGCGGGCGGAGGGCGGAGCAGCGCGGGCCGGGCCGGGCATCCGCCAGCAGACTGATTCCGCGGGAGACACCCCCCTCCCCCCCCCCTCTCTCTCTCTCTCTCTCTCGCACTCGTGGAACGACGTCCCGTGTAGGTGTGAGAGAGATAACCTGCCTCTGGCGCTGGCAGCATGCTGGCCTCTGCACCGCGCCCGTCGAGTTCATACTGTACCCACACTCTAATTCCAGCGCAGCCGCGCTGCCGCGCCTCGGCGACACTGATACACTCTTTATTAGCAGGGGGAGCTGCCCATAAATCGAAGCTAATGCCCGCTAATAACGTGATGTGGCGGGGCCCTGGCGGGGCGGTCCTGGCCTCGCCCCGCGCCCCGCCTTGCCGGCCAAGCCCCTCCCGGGGCTCCCGGGGCGTGTGCCGCAGGCCGTGCCGCAGGCCGTGCCGCAGGCCGTGCCGTTCTCCGGCGCGCACCTCGGCAGCCTTGCCAGAGTCTTGGAGCCACCGGGGGTGCCGGCCGGGGCCGGGGCCGGGGATTGAGATGCGTGCTAAATGATACCCCGGAGCCTGGCGGGCCCGATCCAGACCCTGCGCCGAAAATCCAAACGCACCAGGCTCCAGGCCCCAGGCTCCAGGTACTCATGCCACTCCAGACTCCAGGCCAGGGTCACTTCTCTGGGGCGTGCTCCTCACAGCGCAAGTCCAGGCTTTTATTGGGCCAGGGACTTGATGAGCTGATTTGTTCGACTTTTAGCGTCGCCTAAACCCCCACCGCTGCCAACGAGATGCCCGAGAACACCGCTTTCCACCGACATTTTCGAAAAATAACGGGGAGGGAAATGTGGCGCGGGGAAACTTGCTAAAGCTTCCAGGAAGAAGGGGCGCCTTAGCCTGCTCGGGCGAACCTCTACGCATCCTGCGAACGGATTCCGTCGGCACAGCGTAAGCGCTTCCTCGGTCTGTCTCTCTCGCACCCTTCCGGCACGCCCCATGAGAGCGAGAGAGACAGAGCGAAGACGGACTGCCCGGCGGATTAGCTCTGCTTTGCACACCGATGCAGCGGCTTGCAGCAGGCAGCACAACGCGCCTCGGCGCCAAAGCCGCACTTTCTTCTTCCCCCTCGTGGGTGGCCGGCAGCGGACGCATCCCGGACACTCGTTTTGTCGCAGTGTCTCTGTCGCGTTCTCACACCCGCAGGCGGGCGAGAGAGAGACAGAGCGAGCCCCCGCCGCCGCCCCCACAGCCATGGCGACACACACGCCGCGGCACCGCGCGACGCACAATGCCGCCGTTAAAATGAGGAGTCCATTTCTATCGCGACAATGCAAATGCGGCCGTTACGTCGTTGGCGAGGAGGAGGATGCACCCCGCGCTGGGGCGGCTGGGGGCACTCGCTTGCAGTGCAGGGCCTAGGCACGCGCACGCCGCGCCCGCCCCGAAGCAATCGCCAAAAGGGCACGCACTATTTCAGGGAACGCGATGCGTGTGTGAGCTTGCGTGCGCCAGCGTGCGCCAGCGTGCGCCAGCACCGCCGGCTGGCCGCCCCGATCGAAAGGCCCACCTCTAAACCCCAACTTGGAACCCCGAACCTCGAACCTCGACTTCTCGAGGCGGCCCGAGGCGGCCCGCGGATGAATAAGGGATGGAAAAGGGGGAATCCGACCCCATTTCACGGGTCGCGTGCACCGGGGCAACCCTAGGGGCATACCGAACACCCGAGGCATCGAAAGGGTGCGGGCGGTCACGACCAGAGTCACGACCTCCTTGACGCGACGACGCACGCCCCCCGAGTCCCCGAGGACTCCGACTCGCCGCCTTCGCCCCCACTGGCAAATGTACTTACCTAGCCGCAGACTTCATCTCATGCCCCATCTCCATCTCGACGCCAACATGTTCAGAGGGTTAGTCTTCGTCCCGATCCTGAGGGGATGCTGAGTGTTCTGGTATTGCTGGGCGTTGAGGCGGGAGTGAGGGGCGGTGAGTGACACCCAGCAAGGCGCCAGGCACACGTCGTCATCATCATCATCATCACCATCATCATCATCATCATCATCATCATCATCATCATCATCATCATCATCATCGACGCTGTTAGGCCTGTACACACCTTTAGCGGTTCGGGTCAGCACGGCACCGCGTTAATAACCTCCTCAGAAAAACCTTCAAAAACACATGAAAATACGTTTGCTGCCGGAAAAAGTCACCGAATCAAAAATGCAGACGTCCGAGTACAGAAGCAGTGGGTGAAGTGAAGAATAAAAGTGGAAATTTTGTGGCCAGTAACCATCGCGGGCTGTCATCAATGCCCTCTTTATTTCTCGCCTTGAAAGTAAAGTACGTATTCATTGGGGAGGTTCAAAAAAGCGCGCCTCGAGAGGAACGCGGTATTTTTCATACTTTCTGTTCACAACAGCCGAAATGGCCGCTGAACTTCTCATAGGCGAGGCAGACTTTTACCAACATGACGACCAGAACTGCCACCTGGATCAAAGCGAGCGAATCAAGCCAATCACTTCGGAATGTGCAAAATGCGGTGACAGAACGGCATTTTATAATTTTAGGGCTCGTTTTTATTCAACTGAATCAACTTGTTTTGAGTTTTTAGCCCCGCAGTTTGTTTCTCGTGTTTCACATCCCGGAATAGCAGTCACAACATGGCCGCCCCGTCGAGTGTCGAAATGTTGTCGCGTGTTCCGATTATATTTGTTGTGGGCGCTACGGGGACGGGAAAGACCAAACTATCTGTGGAACTAGCGAAGCGATTTAATGGAGAGATCATCAATGCTGACTCAATGCAGGTTAGTTTCGTCTGACACGGCCCATGAGGCCAACACACGCGTTAACCTCAAACCTTAGCAATGTGCTCGCCCGTGTGATAAACACTGGCTTCGGTATTGGGTATTTTGGAGGTGCAAAGCAACGCATTGCCTCACAACCAGTGTGGGCTGTGTCGCCTCGTTCTCGGAATGCGTTCGGAACGCCCTGCAGTCGGAGCCTGACGCTGTCAACGTGTTGCAGTGTGCCAAGCTGCATGTAAACAAACGGGGGAAGGAGGGGGAGGGGGCCCCAAGGTTCCTCAACCTTTCCTCAGCAGATAATGGTTGAATGAACGAATGAATGAAAGAATGAATGAATGAAGAAAGGTACTGTTTAAGAGCGGCTGCATGGAAGCAAAATGCTCCATCAGAACTTAATGAGTCTATGATTGCTAATTTAGTTATGAAAGGGACTGGGTCATAATACTTTATCTTGCATAATTGTTCTAAATTTAGGAATTGGAATTATTGTTGTAGTGGTTATTGTTAAGAAGGCGTGCTGTGTCGTGGTTTAGTTCGTGAAGGTGGCAACATAATTATGGCATTACCCGTTCTAGTGTGCTAGTCCTCTGTTTTCCATTGTTTTTTATAAACTACAAACACTTTTCATTTAATGTTACTTGAAGACCTTGGGGCACTTGTTGGCTTTACATCTAAATCCATCATTTTACTTAATATTTTTTTTGGAATATAAGTTGTCTTTGCTTTGTTTGTGATTACAATGGTGTCATTCAAGTCTAAAAGATATAGGTTTGTTTTTAAACTGTCTGCAGTATCTCTATTATCAAACGGTGTCTGTCTACATGAAACTGTGGTACTGTTCCGTGTGGGATTGCATTGTTACGTGCATGACTACTCTGCTTACCAGCATTAGTCAGCAGAATGAGTTGAAGGGCTTTGTTTGTGTGCACCAGTTTCAGACCCTACTTCCGAAACAAGTTGGTTGTATGCGAGTTGTATGGCCATCAGAGTCGAGCAGTGCATTGATATCGTCACACGTGTCCAGATTGTATTGATGCCCCACTTTTCTTATACAATCAGTTCCCTTCTGAGTGGGGGGAGTGGGAAATCATGTCACACTATGCTATGTATAATCCACTACCGGGTCGCTCAGGGCTGATAAGGGAAGCAGTTGGCCCAGTTTTCTCAGGAATGGGTGAATTTGATGAGTGACTCCTGCAGTCGGGCCTAGATCTGCCGGGTGACTGTGCACAACAACTGATAAGGCCAGCTAGTGCTAGTTTACTGCCGACCGTTGCTCGTCTATGGTAGAAATCGAGAGTTAAATGGCTTGTCTCTGTCGTTTTGGCCCCGCTGGCAAAGTGCCTCTCTCACCACCCCCACCCTCTCTTTAGACTAAGAGTGCCTGGAAGAAAGCAACTTTGTGAAACTCCAAGGTCCAAGAAACAGGTTGACCAAGTCAAATGTTTCCATTTATTTTGTAACAAAATTTCAAGAAAAAAAGATACTGCAACAGTTTAAAAAATACAAAGTTCATAAGCAAAAAAAAAGAGAAAAAAATGAAAAATATGTTACACAAAACTCAAATTTTTAATAAATTTAAAATTAATTATTTTTTTTTTTGCGAGTGTGCTGCGGGGCGCATGGTGGCGTCAGTGGCGTAGGCGTAACCACGCGTCAAGGACTCCTGCCCGATATCGCGGTGGTGTGGCGTTCTGCTCCGCACATGCTCCCCCCCCCCTTCCCCACTCGCGTCCTCTCTGGGATGAACCCCGCGTATCACGCGCCTCCGACCTCCCCCTCCCCCTCCCTCTGCCCCTTGCCCCCAGTTCCGCCTCTCTTTACTCCTTTTTCGCGTCACGCTCCGCCGCGGCCTGGACGTGGGTCTTCCTGACATTGAGTGTACTTACTTGACTTTTGAACGGCCGCCAAGTTCAACCATAAGAACTTTTAAAAAAATATTTTTGTTTATTCTTTTTTTACATTGCAGGTGTGTGCGGGTTAGGGCATCGATTCAAGATTGGCGCGTCGAACGCGTCGGATTGGAGGTGGTGGCTCCAAACCGTGAGTACTGTGGCTAGACTGCTGCGGGGTGGCGTACGTATGTAAGTACTCGTACTCGTCGTGCTCGACGGTCGGCCGGTCGCAGACTACCGCTTGACTCGGCGATAGGCCGCCGGGCGGTGCCGGGCGATGCTGTGTGGCCGTTGCCAACGTGTTGCCAACTGCAGCGTCCAAACTCGCGTCCTTGAGGCCGCGGGGCCTTGGGACCCCGCGGCTTGAGCGGCTTGGGCCTGCTTCCGAACAGGGCCCCGTCGCTCTGCCTCTCTCGCACCCCAACGAAGCGCGCCGAGCGAAAGGGGAGGAGAGAGAGAGAGAGAGAGAGAGAGAGAGAGAGAGAGAGAGAGAGAGAGAGAGAGAGATAGAGAGAGATAGAGAGAGATAGATAGATAGAGTTCGGTGGTTCGGAATGAGCCCGCCGATTGCCGATACGTTGGCCCACTTCGCCCCATGTCACCATGCGGCGTGGTTAGGCCTAGTCTGCCGGAGGAAAAAGCCTGCCTGTCCAGCCTTTCCAGCGCCTGCACTGCCTGCACTGCCTGCACTGCCTGCACTGCCTGCACTGCCTGCAGCAACGCAACGCACTCGGAGGCCGTCGCCACAGGTCGCCAGTGGCACTGAACCCATCACGAGTCAATCGCATTGGTTCACCCTCTCTCACGAAGAAGAGTGTTTTAAAAGATCGAAAACCTCTTCGTTGCAGATTTATTATCCCATCTATTTACGTTTTCAGCGCGTCTGTCCCGTTTTCCCTGAGGCAAACGCGATAATCAAGTACTGCAAAACGATTTTTGCACCAGCACCTGCACAGCTTTGGCCTTCGTAAGAACTTTGAAATGGACGGAGCCTACTGTGCATAATGTGCAATTAACATTTATTTTGCGCGAAAAGCCATCTTTTTCTCGGAAAGCGTTCTCAATCATGTCTTCGATTACATTTCATCCCATCTTTCCTTTTTAGTTGGCTCTACGCGAACGGTCTCTCTCTCCCTCTCTCTCTCTTTCATGCCCCGGAAAGAACTCCGATAACGAATGAATGGTTTCACCTCATTTTGCTTCGCAGGCCTCGAGAATGTGGAAAACTCGTTGCAATGAGCTTTGCATCGGTGCTGGATCGGAGTTCATCGGTGCCGCGCATCGGTGCCGCATGCCGGATGTACTAATCGGGGCCACGCCATCACGGCCATCACGGCCAGTTTTCGCGACTGTACTGGCCGAAGTGGCGATTGGAAGGGGCCCTACACGCGCGGCTACTTTGTACCCACAATGTGCTCCGAAGGCCTTGGAGGCCGCGATAAGACAATGATCTTTGATCTTGGACATTTTAACCCAGGCCGTCTGTAGGGAAGGGCCCCCTATCAGCATTTTTTTTATGAAATTAAATTATCTTTTTTCGCTTTCGTTTCGCACCGTTAAAAAAATGAGGCAAAAGATTGCAGGGTACCGTTTCAAAGCGTGCTCCAGTTGTCTCCGCGTGCGCATACTGTACATGCACTGCGTTTTTCTCTAAACATTTTCGTTTTATTTGAAAATTTTGAAGTGACCGAGTGCATTTGCCATTATCAGTGTATAGTGCGCGGCTTCCCTCGTGGCTCCTGTGGGGCGAGTGCCTCCCGACCGACTCGGCACGTGCTGCCGAGCGAAGAATCGTTTCGTCGCTCTGTCTCTCTCGCACCGGCACGCGACCGCCCCGTGAGTGCGAGAGAGACAGAACCACGAGAGAGCCTCTTGGGAATCAGTCTGCTGCCCTTTCGATTCGGGAGTCAAAGTGCATCGCCTTTTGGCGGCCTTTGGCCACTTTTCGTTTTGGCCAGCTTTTGGTTCGAGTCGAGTCGACGGCTCGGCTCGGTCCGGCTCGGCTCGGCTCGGCTCGGTCGTGCCCTGCCCGGCCCGGCCGACTCGGCGCGTGTCCACTGTGTCCACGAGAGGTGGTTATTGGTCCCGATTTGCGCAGCGCGGCGCCAGAATTAGTCCGGTGAGGCGTAATTTGAGATAGATAACGCTGCGCACGCGGACGTGCACGTGCAGCGGCCCGGTCTATGCGTGACCTGGCCATACGTGCTTTTGTCTCCCTCTGTTCTCTCCCGCACTCACTGGCCCGCCCCTAGCGGTGCGAGAGAGACGGAGTGACGAGAGCACTGGTCAGACTGCAGTACTGCCCCCGCTGTGGACGCGAATGAATGCGGACAGCCTTTATCGACGCGAAAACAAAAGGAGACTGGCGGCAAAAGAACGAGGACGCCAGCGTGGGGGTCTTCGGTAACGGGGAGCTATTTTCAGTGGCGGGTCCAGAGCCAGCCTGACAGAGGGAGAGGGAGAGGGAGAGAGAGAGAGAGATGGAGAGAGACAGAGAGAGAGAGAGAGGAGGAGAGAGAGAGAGAGAGAGAGAGAGAGAGGGAGGGGAGAGAGGGAGGAGAGAAGACAGAAGATGAGAGAGATAGAGAGTTGGAGGAAGAGAGAGGAGAGAGAGAGAGAGAGAGAGAGAGAGAGAGAGAGAGAGAGAGAGACAGAGAGAGAGACAGAGAGAGAGAGAGAGAGAGAGAGAGAGAGAGAGAAGGGGAGTATAGCACTTTTTTGCCTTGTTGAAAGTTTAAAGTGTGGAGCTTTACATGCCTTTCGGGCGGCTATCTAGGGGCCAATCAATCTCTTGGCCGCCGCACTGGATCCACGCCTTGCTATATTTGACGATTTTGACCAAAGCAAGGCGGGAGCGTAGGAAGTGCGAGTTGTGGGCTGAAAAAATTGAAAGGGGGGGGGGATTTTTGATAGTGCTGAAGGACGAGTGGCTGCACTGTGATGACCCTTGCTGGCCGTTGTTGCTGTCCGGTACTGTCCCGCTGCGGTGGTGTGCACCAGATGACTGTCGGGAGACCGGCCGACCGGTCCGGTCACTTCTTTTGGAACTTTCCGCGGCAACGCGAGGGCAGCGCTGCTAGCGCTGCTGGGCAGCGGGACTCGAAGACCACTGAGCCAGTGCCCTTCCCGCCAGTGGGCTGCCAATGGCTCGCCAGGCATCCATTGACGAGCTCGCCGGCCCGCCCGCCGGGCTTATCTGCCCCGACACATTTTGCACCATTTGAATAAATAAGTGAACTCGTGGCCTGCGGGCTCACCTGCCGTTGCTCTGACTCGAGAAGAGGAAGAGTGGGCGAGGCAGGAGCAGCAGGCTGTTCATATGTGTGCGTTATCCCAGAGCAACTAGACGGGCTCTAGTCACAGTGAGTGGGCAGAAAGTGCGTCACCGACGCGGTGTCATCGCGCAGGTGCCAACTGTAAAAAAAGCGAAGCGCCGTTTCGATAACGCCTTTTGATGAATTTCAACGAATTTGAGTGAATTTTACAAGTTTGATGAATTTTGGTGTACAAATTTGGCTGGGGTTTGCACTTGCGGCGCTTGGTCCTATGGTTCGGCGGCGCGAGCCCTCTCGCCCAAACGGCACTGCAGTCGCTCTTTCACCTCGGTGACTTTTAATCTTTATTCTGTGAAATGCGAAACCAAATAAATCGAGGGATTTAATTGCCGTTCGCGTGACTAGTCAAAGCGCAACGCGGTCGGCTCGCGTCTGCACTCATGCAGCCAGCAGCTACCACACGGTTAAAACAGAACCTGGTTTTCCCAGCAAGCCAATGGTGATGGTATAGGCGATTTCCAGGAAGTTCCTGGGAAAACCAGGAACCATTTTTACCGTGCAGCTCATATCAGTTGTCGTGTCCACTCTAACCCTTCCCCTGTGGTGAAAACCATGTCACGCCGTGCCGAACGACATACCCGGGTTTGAACCAGTTTTGGTTAGATTTGATCTAGTGAAACGAAACCTAGTGAAACGAAACAAAAAAAGCTCTTTGCCTTGGTTTTTGAAATTATCGATCCAACTAAGTTTAAGAGGGTTACATGTTAAAAGAATTGGAAATTGTACGCAGTTCGTGGTGAAGGTGACTTAGTGCGCAGGGTGCGGCGCGTGTAGCCGCGCTGAGTCGCCCAATTCCACCCCATCGGGGTCCTTATCTGCCGGACAGTCAGCAGCAAGTATTTTCGAACTCGATAGTGTGTGGCGCCTTGACGCCCGCCTCGCGCGGCGCGTGTGTCCGCGACGGTCTACTTACACAACCGCGCACGTTTTGCACTCTTTTTTTTTCGGTCACTTTTGCCCCCCAGACTTTGCCGACGCCAGTAAAATCGCTCCTCTTGGACTGGCGGGGTATGAAACCGGCGGTGACCTCGGGCGGAAAATTGAGAAATCTTTTTGCGTTTGTTTAGTTTATGCACTTTTTCTTGAGCGCTTGTCACTCAATCCGGGCCGGGCACCGTCATCTCGGGTAAAGAGAGGTTGATCGAGAGGTAAAGGGTTCGCGTGACGCCGCCGAGGACGTCCTCATCCATGAAGCCTGCCCGGCGGTGCCCGCCGGTGCAGGAAGTCCGACAAACGGCCATAATTTGCGTAATACTTGAAGTGGACGCACGCAAATTACACTATCTTGTCGTGCTTCTTGCGCGTTTTGTCGTCCCATTCATAGAGGGCTCCGCACGCTCCGACAAATTACAGGCTTTGATTTTTTTTTCTAGCCCGACAGGAAAGTTTTATAGGCCGATGCTGTGTGTGTGTGAGAGGGAGGGAGGTAGGGAGGGGAAATTGGGAGAATTCCTCTCTTTGAAAATTTGGAAAGAATAAAGTTGAAGCAGGCTATGGTCGAGGTACTGGAGTGAGGAGAGCCAATATTTTGTCCAGCATCGGCGCAGAGGGTTGGTCGAGTACTGGAGTGAGGGACTCCAAATTTAGGCTCTGTCCGCGGCGGCCCCCCCAGATGGGACTGGTTATTGTTTGCCCATCGTTGGGACTTTCCAATTCCGCGGCCCTGATGCCGCGGCGCCGCCCCGGCCCCGTTCCCGGCCTTGGCGTGTCTACTCTTTCGTATCCCGGTCCTGGTCTGGTTCCACTGCCGAGTTGCGCGTCCCGCCAGCGGGGGCGTGTACATGAAAGTCGCGCCTCTCCGCCGCCGTCCCGG